GCCACATCTCCAATTTTTTTGCACAAGAATAATACCATATTGTTTGAACATCACATTGCAACATTAATTCATCGAAATCAACAAATTTACCTCGTAATTTCTAAAGGATAACCGCAACAGTATTGAAATAGAATAACTGTAGTAAATTTACTAGTTGTGAGAAACATAAACTTTTCGGAGATCTGACATCAATTCTCCCAGTCAATTCAGATTATATGCATATTCTGAAACAGATAAAGCTCAAAAATGTAATGTTGGTTTTGTTCTCTAATCGGATTTCGGAAAACCTGATGATCATGAGAGCATAGTGGGTACGATGGATGGGGTACCATTCACTGTACACCCCCACGCAAAAATGCAGTCAAATTAAATTATCATATCAACTTAACTATGTTCTGAAACAGCAACAAAAAATCCCGAAACGAATTTCCAAAACTACCCGAAATCTCCGAAAAAAGAACATACAATAAACTTCCTCATTATCTTCTCTTTCCACCTGGCACCATCATATCTGATCAATCAAAGATGGCTAACGAAAAAGTCCTTGACCAAAATTATCTCGACGAAAAAAACCAAAAAACAATGTACGCTTCTCTCTAGTTTCTTCTTTTAGCAGAAATCATGAATTCTCTAGTAGGAAACGGCTACGATCAATCAAGGCAACTACGATAACTGTTATCTTGATCATCATTGATAGCAGAGATTTTTGGAGAACGGAAATGAAAGTAAGTTCTAGTGAAACAAGGGCATGTAGATAGGTGAGAGGACAACATTACTTTGGTCGTTTTTAATTAGATCAAAATCTAGATAAAGGAATGGACTTTTGAAAGCGGAAGATTAATTTGAATTGACAAATTGAAAAATTGATTTCGTCTAAAAATCGAAATTTCGTTTTGGAAGAAGGAGAGAGTGGGCGGTTGTATTTTTTTCGAGGGGTTGTTCAAAAATGATTTGTTCGGTTTCAGACAATTTATAAATTTAGAGAAGGGATCGAAAAAATAATTCATAACATTTTCCCTTTTGAGTTCAATCATCTCGGAACCTAAAAAAGATATAAAAAAAATCTGCAACTTATGAAAATGTGGGCAATAACCGAATAATTCTCTAAAAGGTCTGAACATAGTTCAAAAATTCAATAGAAACTCGTCAAACAGAAAAGAGCTTCGCAGAATCAGTTTTTTTAAAATGTCACTGTTTCATTAAGTGTATTTTATCTAATAACTTCTGCTCTCCTGATAGATGTGATGCGATTTTTTTGTAAAGTACCGTGTGCCGTTTTACATTTTGGCGCATCGTCTCGTAAATCGACACAAGTACTACCGGCTTCTAGATTTTCAGATATAACGGATAATCAGAATACTATCAGCATCCGGACAGGATTTGTGGATGACACCAAAATGAAACTGTGAAAATATTTCTCTCTGATTTTTTTTCGAATTTCCAAAACCCAGTTCCTCTTTCTCTTCTCCATCCTGCCCCTATCTCTCTTGTGTTCTAATCACCTGTTATCTAGGTTACCAGACACCCGATTTCATATAAAAGTTTGACCTTTTCAACTGTCTAGGAGAGATAAAAAACGGGGAGGGCTATGATTTTTTATTTTATTTTTTGCAACCGGCACGAAGACGATGAAGAGGAAATGACGTAGAACGATCAGTTGGATATGGGCGATGAAAAAAGTGAACGATGCATAAAAATGACGAATCAGAGAGAAAAAGAATAGAGTTGTTTAAAAAATCAATCTGAAACAATAGAAAATTTACTCGATAAAAATAATGACACGCTCTGCCCAGCTAGACATTTGAGCCGCAAGTGTCTTGTTCAGCGAAGCGTCATTGTACGCCGCCAAAATTTGGTATTGAAATTTATGAACCTCAAAGAAAAAATTGTGGGAATATGCTTTTGCTATATCTCAATGTTTTTTTCAGCTTTTTTCTGCTTCCATCATTTAGCTTCAATTTGGAATGAATCACTTTATTATTTTGAAAAAAAAAATCAATATTTGAGACATAATCAATAATATCGGCAAACAAGATCCCTGCCGATTCCAGACCTTCAATACCGTTAGCATGGTCTTTCAAAACTCTCCTAACTGTTGCGAGACACTTATTCAGCGAGTAACAAAGCCCGAAATTCGATAAATGATCTAAAATTTTTTAAAATTATTGATTTAATTCTTGAAATCAAATGTGTCTGCCTCGCATTTGGTCGATAAGTGTATCAGAATAGTTTCCGGTGGCAGCAGCCGCGTTCAAAACTTTGACAGCACATTCAGACACTTCTTTGATTGGATCCTGTAAATTTAGAAAATTTAACTATAGGTTTAGCGGGTCATTTAAAGTCTTTGTCGAAAATACCTGAAACCGCAAGGCTCCACATCCAACGAAAGCAGAAAAAAGAAAATCAGGAACTTCGTGATGAAATGTTGTTTTCTGTGCTCCATGGCTCTTTTAATGTGGAACGGAAAATTTAATAATGTCATATGGGACATCTATACAGTATTGTGTTAGGCCTTCTCGTCCTATTGATGTGTTATTTGCGTTGTTGTGAAAATAGTGAATAATATTTTTACCTTTCAATTTTTTTACATTATATTCAGAGAAAAACATGTTACGTCAAAAGTATGTTTTACTTCCGGCAAGCATACGGTAATACAAAATATCATGGGCCCTGACGTTATCTGCGCTTCTAAACTTAAATCGATCTGAAAATGTGTGATTTACGCAAGTCATTGAGTCAATGTATCTCGTTTCTTGTGAAAGGTATCAAAAATCTCACGAGAGGAAAAGTTTTGTCTTGAAACCAGCAACAGTTCATTATTTGACCACCTTTTGATATTTCAAACGGGAAACGAGATAATTAAGATCAAAGTGAGGATCTTTTAAAGGAGTTCCACAGATTTCTAAAAGTGAAAATTCAATAGTTATTTGTAAATTAAAAACGTGATGAAAAAAAAATTTAGAAAAAAAAACAAAATTTCCAGACCAAATAACTGCGTGAGGTTTGGAAACCCACGACCCTACGTGGCCCATTGACCTCAGGAAGAATACTATAAAAGAAGAAAGAATCAGTGGGAAGAATCAGTTCTCCCTTCTCTGGGCTCCTGAAAGGGGAGCCTGGAGAAAGGATCCGGGTGTCCTGGATCCGGATGTCCAGGGTTCTGGATCCGGTTGGCCTGGATCCGAGTGGCCTGTATCCGGGTGACCTGGATCCGGGTGGCCTGGATCCGGGTAACCTGGGTCCTGGATCCGTGTGACCTGAATCCGTGTGACCTGGATCCGGGTGACCTAGATCCGGGTGACCTAGATCCTGGTGACATGGGTCCTGGATCCGGGTGACCTGGATCCGGGTGATTTGGATCCGGGTGACCTGGGTCGTGGGTCCGGGTGATCTGGGTCGTGGGCCCGGGTGACCTAGATCCCGGTGACCTGGATCCGGGTGGTGACCTGGGTCCCACATCCGGGTGACCTTAACCCGGGTGTCCTGGATCCGGGTGTCCTGGGTCTTGGGTCCTGGGACAAATATAACATTTTTTGAAAATAAAAATTAGGGTTCCAGAAATACATGAAACTGAAACTTTTAAAAAATCCTTTTTTCTCGGTGATTCAGTTTCATATTTTTGATTTCGACGATTTTCCAATGCTTTTCCTTTTTCAGTGAAGTTCAATCATCATAGTTTTACAATATAAAGTCATGTCGACTGCTCTTTTTGTTCTTCTTATCACTCAAAAAAATATCAATTGATAACGAACTTATACCTGGAAAGTGAATTTTCTTCTTTTTTGTCTTTCTTTTTTTGCTCTTTTTGTTCTTTTCTCTCCCTAAAAAGTCCCACACCAATCAATCTTGTTTCTACAACGCCAAATCATTTTTCGTTATCTTTCAAAATTTGTGTCAATTTTCATTTCTTCATTTTTCGACTCTATTTCAAGCTCTCATTTGTTTTATTTTCAGTTGTTCTCTTGTTTTTGATAGTATATTTTGAGGAGAAACAAAACGACTGATACTGATAAGAGCGACAAAAATATACATTTCGTATATACACATTTTTCATAAGACGATTAGAAAACTTGCTATAGGATTCTGTCTTTTTGGTAATGAATGACATTTTTTCACTGTTCTAGCTTGTAAATCTATAGTTGAAATGGTTACTGCATTGATCATTGCAGGTAGAATCTCAAAACTTTGCTATGAAATTATTCAAGTTAGGCAAGTCTATCCAACTCAAAAATTAATATTTATTCAAAGTGGTGAATATACATTAGTGAAATGCTATCGGAATGAAACATGAATTTCCGGTCACAGGACTAGTGAATTCAAGATTTTAAGATTTGAATTTTTAAAAGTTCGAAATAGACTGTTCTTTCTTTTCTGTGATCTTCCTATGTGTTCTTCCTATGTAATAGACTTTTGATAGACATCTAATATGTAATAGCCTGCTCGAAACCGATATTATTTATAGAAACTATTTTTTTGCCTAGACGAGTTATAACAGTTCAAACTGAGAAATTTTCTTGCTGGGGTTGCTCTCTGAACCAAAATCAGAATTTTTACATAATCGTATGAGTATCTCTTGAGCTTTCAAATCTGTATTTCGTGCCTATCATCAATATGTAATAGCCTGACTTTTAAAACATTGATGAAACAGAAATAGTAGCCAAATGTTCACTTTTGAATTCTCAAATCAACAGCTTTTTGGAAGTAGGCTCCAAATATGACCAAAAACTTTTTCAAAAAAAAAAAGTTTAAAAAAAGTTTTCAAAAAAGGTTTTTCAAAAAAAGATCAAAAAAGTGTGGACTTTTTTGAAAAAAGTCCACACTTTTCATTACCTGCCAACCCTCACGATCCAACCTGTGCCCCTCAATCTGTCATTCATCCTCCCTATCCCATCAATCGGAAATATCCTTGTATTTTCTCTGGGATTTTTAAACAGAAAAGTGTTATGTGTATGTGTGTCTTCTTCTCGGCACCTTGTCACAACATTGTGATGATGAACAACTGCCGACTGACAAATGAGTGAGTGAGAAATCAGGGCGCAAAATGAGTGGAAAAAGAGAGATGGCAGGGTGGGTCGAATAACACAAAAACATGCGGCTAGGTGATCAAGGGTGGAGCTCACTGATTTATTGGTCTCCTCTTCATTCTAATACTTCCAGAATGATCTGGTCGTTTATCTTTGTTTTTTTCTTGTTCTTCCGCATACTAACAAGTGGTTCTTTGGAATATTTTACGTTTAACTAGGTGCCCAGTAGTTCTTGAAAATTTTCAATTTCGAATTTCAGAAAGTTTGCATTGAAAAACAAAAGTTCCACGTAAACCCAATCAGTTTGAAGTTTGTTCCGGGAAAAGACCTGATTAGGAAACAGTGATAACTCCTAAATGTTCACAAATCTGCAAAATCAGCGAAATCTCAAAAATAGTGTTTTCTGGAATGATACAAATTTTACAGTTACCACTTGGTATTATGATTGTAGCATAATTTTGAGAAACAATGGAAGAGAGTTGTACATGGCAGGAAAATTTTCAGAGTTTTTTTGAAGCTACAGTACGCGACGGTGTACAGTGTTTAGTGCTCAGTGAGCTGCTCACACAGCGCGTTGCTATCGGGCCACCTCAGCTTGCGCCACCGTAGCTCAGCTGGTAGCGGCGCTGCATCTCCAGCATAAGGTCCACAAGTTCAACTTTTCGAAGGGCGTATATGAACGGAATTTCGAAAAAAATTGTTTCTCAGCAGATTATTCTTTTCAACATATGTTTATCTAATTTAAAACTGGCTCCTGCACAAAAACATGTTGTGAAACAGTGATAACCAAATATTCGCTAACAAAAATCTTTGCAAAATCTCCAAAGATATTTCCAATTAGAATAATGAAACTTCTACAGTTTCAACTTGGTATTATAACTGTAAAAGTATTTTGAAAAACACCGTGTACAGTGACTAGTGTTCACACAGCGGGTTGATATCGTGCCGCTTTCAAATATTTCAACAGTCGGCTACCGTAGCTCAGCTTCCTGCAGCGTTAGGCCCACAAGCTTAACTTCTTCAGGAGCATAGGAACAGAAGTTCGAGATAGTAATTGTTTTCAGCAGGTTAATTTGTTCAACACAAGCAGATCTAATTTTAAGTTGGTTCCTGCAAAAAACCATGTTATGAAACAGTGATAACCAATTGTTCGCCAACAAAAATGTTTGCGGAACTTCCAAAGATATTTCCATTTGGGATAACAGTTTCAACTTGGTATTTTTACTGTGACATAATTTTGAAAAACATTTTTTTTCATGTCCCCATTCTTTAAGACATTTCATTATTTCATTGTCACGAACACCGAATAATATGAATCCGGGCATTTTGCCAGTTTTCAAAATCTCTCCTAAGCCAAGTTTTCAAGATTCTAACATTTTTTTAAATGTTTTTTTTCTTTTTTTGTTAAACTCATGAAGCATTACCTTTTTTATCGACATGTTCTTCTTTCAACCCTAACTCTCACTCGCCCCCCCCCCCCCCCCCTAACCCCTTCCCATGCATCTCAAAAATCGGAGTTGAAATCGTTAAGTTTGAAAGAAACAAAGTTTATTCTTAGTCACCGTGTCCTCTTCATTTTCTTCTCTGAATGTGTACCATCACATGTGAACTCATTCTCCTTCTTCTCCTACACGTTTGTTCTCCACCCTTCCTTCTCGTTTATGATCTCTTTTTACGAGCTCCGCCCTCGAAAATGCTTCTGATCATGAAAACGAAGAAGAAGGGAAAAAGAGCTTGACGATGTATCATTTTCTCACTTTTGTGTGTTATGTTGTGAGACTCTTTCGATTTTAGTGCTTGTTCCATGATGCGATTTTATGAGAGACAGAGCTTTACGGTTTCAGAAAACTAAGAAGGTTCTAGAAAAATATAAACAAGCCCTGTTATTCCAATTTTAAAGTGTGAGCTATTGTCTACTTTGTGAATCCGTAATTTGTGAATGGAGTCATAAATAATTGTACTTCTGAAATCATTTCAGTCATTTTACTAATAATAGCTTGATTGATCAATTAAGGGGCAATGTAATTAGAATTCGTTGATAAACTGCTTTTCAGGATCTTCCAGTGCATTCTTGAAATTAGGAAGAATTGTTGTGGTTTTTTTCGGAGAAGGGCACATTATAAATACCTCCATTTTCTTATCATATGCAAGTTATGAAACCGGAATAATTTTTTAAACAACATATTTTTCATTTTTGGTAGTTTTCCTGGGAAAACCCCTTTGAAAGCTAAAGCGTTCAACATATTAACAGGAACATTCTAAATATGAAACAGAAAATCTTTCAGACTGGGATGACTTTCGAAATTCCATTTTACTGATGACCACATTTGAAAAATTTACTGAAATGGATAAATTTGCCGTTAAAAGTTATCAATCAGGTTTGATATTTGTATCTGGACCGGAGGCAATGTGGAATTCCGAAAAATCTCGGATTTTTCAAAGAAGAAAATCTATACTTTAAAAAACAATGTAAGTGAAACGAGTCAATAATTTTCAAAAGCGCATAACAAAAACTTTGCTCCTGCGTTTTGTAATTATCCTTTACTCTTTTTTTTTCCTAGTTTTAATGGGTTTTGATACTCGATTCGAACAACATTCTAAAAATGCTGTTGTCGGACGCTTCCGACATACCGGTCATAATCTTTACGTCAATCCATAGTTGATTCTAAAAAACTGTACTGCACGATCTCCCACAGAACAATTTTTTTAAAAAAATATATTATCAATACATTTATTCACAACATAACTTTAATACCAAGAAATTTTTTGAATTCATCTTTATTTCTGAATAGAACATCGGCAAGATCTTCACCATATTTGCTCTTATATAATACATTCAGTTTCACGAGCAAGTCTTTTCTCATATTTAAATTTTGTAGGAGCTGAGTGATTTTACCTCTGTTTGACTCCTCATAGATTTCGGCTGCAATTTCATTGATATTAATAGTGAACAAGTTATCTTGAACATAGGTGGCCATTTCATTATTGAGGTTCAGCTCCTCATCAACAATGTCGATGAATCTAAAAATAATAATCCAAAAAAAAATATTCCGAACTGCAAATTAATTTTTGATCTACAGAAAAAAAGTTTGGCGCGATCACAATTGCAGGTCTAAAACCATAGTTTCGGAATTTTTATCTGATTTTGTGGAGATTGAAAATGATTCAAATGATTCTTAAAAAATCATTTAGTGGTTATAGATTTATGTATGGTCCTTTTCCGGAAGAAAAAATTTCAAAAATGGTCATTTTCGAAAGTTTTTTCATAGAAAAAATGTATCTCCTCTTTCAGTTTTTGACATTTCTGGGAGTTCTATAGTTCAAAAGAACCGCAATTATTTACTCTTCATTTTATATGGATGAATTTTTGATTTGTCTGA